AGCATAGGCCTTCAGAAAAAAAAAGCAAATGCCAACAATACTTGAAAAGATGAACCCACTCATAAATATAAAAATTCAATTTAAAACCGACAATACCACTCACTCTTCACCCACCTGGCTGGTATCAGCTTGTAAATATTTTACAGAGTGTTCTAGGGTGAGTGGTATTCTCACGTGCTGCTGGTGGCCCTGGGAAGTGTCAGGCATGCTGACAACATCTGCAGGAGTCCCACCTCCCTGCAGCTGCACCAGAGTAGGGTAGTGGTGAGCACACTCTTACACCTGTGCACTTGACACAGTAGTTAAATGAAGCAGTCACCATGGAAAGATCTATGACCTTTTGCTAAGTCAGAACCACGTACAGTTACAGCACTTACAGAAAAAGCAAACCTGCTGTGTAAGTCCACACACACACACACACGCACACGCACACGCACACACACACGCACACGCACACACCATAGCAAATAAAAGGGTCTGATGGAGTTTGGACATGTTATCCCACCAAAACTCTGCACACGCACACACGCACACGCACACGCACATGCACACACCATAGCAAATAAAAGGGTCTGATGGAGTTTGGACATGTTATCCCACCAAAACTCATGTGGAAATCTGATCCCCATTGTGGCAGTGTTGGGAGCTGTTTGAGTCATGGGGGTTAATGGATGGATAATCCTCATGAATGGATTAATGCTCTCCCAGGGGGGTGGGGTAGTGAGTGAGTTCTGGCTCTATTAGTTCCCGCGAGAGCTGGTCATTTAAGAGTCTGGCACATCCCCCCTCTCTCTCTTGCTTCCTCTCACCATGTGATCTGCTTGTACCCACCAGCTGCCTGCCACTATCCATGGGTAGAAACAGCCTGAGACCCACACCAGATGCAGCTGTCCCGGAATTGTAAGCCAAATAAACCTCTTCTTTATAGATTACCCAGTCTCAGGTAATTCTGTTACAGCAACACAAAACGGACTAATGGAGGGTCTGGATAAATGCAAACTCCTACCTTGGTGAGGAAACATGACTAGGGTTGGCAACCAGAACAACTTGATTTGAAATAAATATAATTTGAAATAAATTCATTAATTTTAAATTTACAACACCATATTCATGTATTGCTNTAGTTAAATGAAGCAGTCACCATGGAAAGATCTATGACCTTTTGCTAAGTCAGAACCACGTACAGTTACAGCACTTACAGAAAAAGCAAACCTGCTGTGTAAGTCCACACACACACACACACGCACACGCACACGCACACACACACGCACACGCACACACCATAGCAAATAAAAGGGTCTGATGGAGTTTGGACATGTTATCCCACCAAAACTCATGTGGAAATCTGATCCCCATTGTGGCAGTGTTGGGAGCTGTTTGAGTCATGGGGGTTAATGGATGGATAATCCTCATGAATGGATTAATGCTCTCCCAGGGGGGTGGGGTAGTGAGTGAGTTCTGGCTCTATTAGTTCCCGCGAGAGCTGGTCATTTAAGAGTCTGGCACATCCCCCCTCTCTCTCTTGCTTCCTCTCACCATGTGATCTGCTTGTACCCACCAGCTGCCTGCCACTATCCATGGGTAGAAACAGCCTGAGACCCACACCAGATGCAGCTGTCCCGAAATTGTAAGCCAAATAAACCTCTTCTTTATAGATTACCCAGTCTCAGGTAATTCTGTTACAGCAACACAAAACGGACTAATGGAGGGTCTGGATAAATGCAAACTCCTACCTTGGTGAGGAAACATGACTAGGGTTGGCAACCAGAACAACTTGATTTGAAACAAATATAATTTGAAATAAATTCATTAATTTTAAATTTACAACACCATATTCATGTATTGCTCACCTAATTAAAATTAACAGCATTAACAGGTTACTAGTTTAAAATAAAACTCAGCTACCAGTCTTTCACCTTCTCAGCACTTACTTCGGAGTAAAAATGGCAAATTATGTATATATCAGGATTTTATAATCTGTATCCCCAAATCAGGCTCTAATTTCTCTCAATCATCCCTAAATCAATTCACACCCACTGTGCACCACAGGATCAGTTCACACACAGGTGCAGGCTCTTGTTGGTGACCCCTCTGACTCTGAGCAGATGCTGCAGACAAGCCCTTTCTACTGGAGTCAAACCAGACTTATCTTTGGCTGTTTACTCAAATTAAGAGATGGGGTAGCACGGCAGGGGACATGCCATCATCAGTAATCAATACAGTGCAGAGCTGCCTCCTAACGCCCCTCTCCCTGCACACCCCCTCTGCCTGGTGCTGAGTCACAGCTGACTATGTGGGCAGAATACTTTGCCGGCAGTCGCACCAGCCACTTCAAAACTTTAAAGAGCGCTTTACTTTTAAGTATACTACACATGTCTAAGATCTACACAAAGCTAATACATTCTCTGACTGATAAAGGGCAGATGTGTGGGCGTAGGTAAGTTCATGTATAATGTAGCCATTTCTCAATCATTTTCTCAAAATAAACCAAACAGTTCAGCAAATCTAGTTGAAAGTTTTATTTATATAAAATTCATTAAGAACATAAAAGATTGAGTTTCTTAAAAAATCTGCAGTTATTTACAGCAGTATTGCACAAGTAAAGTGGCAATTACCCTGTCAAAATTTGTCAGTGCAAAACACAAGTGAGCCAGGGAAACTGCAATACAAATGCTACATATGCTGGGCCCTAGGGAACAAGTTAGTGACGGATCAGTATACAGACAGATCAGTGCTATTTATAAGTGGGTACCTGATGGGTTCTGACGCAGTAACCAGTGGTCACAGAACCTAGACATAACACCTATGAGAGCTTCTAAAGTCTGAAATCCCTAAATAAAAGTAGTCAAGTTACTTAGCTGGGAGCTTGAGGATGCTTCTTGGACACAATGCTGTTTGGAGTAGACCCCTACTGATTTAGTGTCACGTGTGGACACATCCTCACACACACATGCTGAGCGGACACACACAGGAACCAAGCTGAATGAGCAGGGGTGACAGACCATCTGCACAGAGCCACTCGTTAGTCTCCCTAAAGCTTCCATGAGCTTCCACATCTTGACACCCAATCCAGTGGGTGTCAACCTCTCTCCAAAGGGATGGAGAATCAGGAGGAGGGTATTGACCCGAAGAATCAGGCTGACCAAACACAGTGACCAAATGATTGGGGGGGGGGGGGGGGGGGGGGCTATACAATCAGTTCCTGAAGACAATTTAGTCCACACCTCAAAGCACAGGACACCACACAGCAAGTGGGGGACAAACTCAACTATGGACCAGTTGCCAACAAGGGGCTAGCGGCACGAGGTGGTCCTGAAGCAGGAGCCACCTGTCCCTTCATCGTGCCTGGCGCCCTGGCCAACCACATGGCAGCACCTCCTGATGTGTCAATATTTTTATTTCTTGCAACAGTTACCAGGGATGAATTTTGAAGGGAAAAATCTTTCCCATCTCCTGATTAAAAAAAAATACTAAGATACAGCCTGATGATATATTAGCAAATCTGCTTCCATGAGAACTTTGGAACAAACAGAAGGTTGCAGGGTATTTCTTAGAGCAGAATTTTGTTGCCTGCCAGATTTAGTTTCTCATTGGCATCTAAACATAAACATCATCATAACGGCAGCAAAGCCAAAGAACTGAAACCCATTTGACCAGAAATACCAGGACCTAAAGCTGGAGGACCACCCTGGGAAGACCATGTGGTCTGCAATGAGCTGACCAGTCCCCACTTCACACGTTGGGAATTAAAGCAATTCACGGGACAGTGAGGGTGTGGGGGACAAGGATGTCAACACTTTTCAGACCTTAAGACATTAAATAAGCAGAAAATAAATATACAATATTTCTACAAGTTACAGCATTATGAAACAGTAGGACACATTACACAAAAAAAGAATCTACAATATTTACAATCCTTGATTCTGAAAAATGTTTAGAAAAACAGTGATTTTTACTCATTTATGCTGTACAAAATTTTACAAGAAAGGTAAAAGAAACACAATTGCACACAGACATTTGGCTCAGTTGATAAGATATGATCTCCTAATCTAATAAATAGTCAAAATATATACAGTATCAAGAAGGGAAACAGCAGAAAATTGTATTCCACTGTGTACTTTTTTTTAAAATCAGAAGGTATTTTAAACTGTTTTCTCCACATTCCCCCCAAAATTCTTCATCAACTTGTTTCTGGGAAGGAAATCTGAAGAATCACTCACGAAGTTATTTTGTGTGTGTTTATTGCATTTCCGCGTTAGGTCACAGGACACTTTTTAGAAACCTCACATGGGGAGAGGTTGTCAAGGCACAAAACCCGCATTAAGTTTCAAAAAAGAGATCTGGTTCTTTTTTCTCAAAAAAAAAAAAATAATAATAGTAAAAAAAATCATAACTGAAAGTTATACCCAGGGGAGGTATAAGTTCTTCAGGGAGGGGAGGCATCTTGATAAACAGATACATACAGTACAGAGACATCCAGTCATCTAAGTTCTGGTGCCAACATCCTGTTCTTTAATACTTCTGCAATTCATAGAATCTCTTATTTCCTCAGGAGCTGTTTCCCCGGCAGCCTGGAGGGCTGGAGGCTGTCAGGCCAGAGGTCAACATGCTTGCACAGCGCTTGGGCACCGGCCAAGCAGGGCCTCCTACCTGGGCTTCCCAGAGCTGTGTCACGTGCTCCCAGAGCGCTGCAGGGCTGAAGAAACAGGGTAAAGTGCTCCAGTCAGAGAGACTGGCACATGAATCTGGAGATCCTGGGAGGAGAGTGGCCCAGAACCAAATATGTCTTTGGTGTGTGTGTCCCGCAGGCCCGTGGCTACAATGCTACCACCTCTTAACAAACGTGGGCTTTGTGTGACCCCACAAATGGGTTCAAGACACATAAGAAACACGCTGCACTCCAATACAGCTTTGAAAATATTCAAAACCCCAGAGATTTGGGGGGGGGGGGGGAAAAATTTTAAAAAAGAATATTTGGACTCAATTCATTTCTATCTAAAGAAAAAAGTATATATGCTATATATATACAAAAATTATAAAGATACAAATGAACAGATTTCCTACTTAATTTAATAATGCGAAAACACTGGTCCTCTATCTGGCAAAAGCAAATACGACAGTTGTTGGCACTGCTGACTCGTTTGAAAATCCAGGTATTTCATTTAAGAAGTTGTTTAATGATGGGAGTTTTCAAAAACTGTAGGAGTTATGGGGTTCACTGGATCATCTCCATTCCTTTCACTGCTTCCTAATCTCTTTCTCAGTTCTCCCCAGTTGTCTGCTTGCCTTTGAAATGACTGACCAACGCATAGGCTTCCCATTCACTACGATCCTGAGGGGAGGTGCAGAGAAACAGCATCCCCGCAGAGCTGCACGCAAGAGGGCCTGACAAAACCACCTGCCCCAAGAGAGATGGAAAACCTGACATCCTTCAGGAGGCCGAGACCATTTCAGACTTCTGCCCAATTAAGCTATTCCACAGCACTGGTAGAATTAAGCCTATATTTAAAAGTGGACTTAGAGAAGTGGGGACTAAGTATCAGGAACCACAGGCCAAGTAAACTCTGAGTTGGATTAAAAGCCAGAATGCCTAGAAAATGGCCATCTGAAGATCCCGCCTTTGGCCTGTGCTCATTCCCACAAGGGCACAAATCTGGATGCCCACAGCTGGACCCTGCTGTATGTGGGGGTGTGTGGACCATCTGGGACTTGAGGCTGATGGGGCATCCTGTGACCATGGGAAAGCCTGCAACTAGAAAGCCCACAGCATGAAGGGGCATAATACTTAGTACGCCGTAACTATTGCTATTACCTCTTCCGAATACTTCTAAATGCCAAACCCATCAAAACTAAATGAAAACCAACACCAAGTACTTCTCACCTAGTCAACTAATAACAGATTGATCGAGCTGTGTATGATACAGGCAGATATTAACTCTTATTCTGACCCAATTACATTTTGTCATGAAAACACACTGGATCGAATCTGTGCATCAGAGTCCAGACAGACCAGAGGAGCCTCATATAAAGGAGATCAGGAAAACACACAAAAAATAGTCTGAAATTTTGCGACAAATGCAACTAAATTTAAGGAGGTACATAAATATTTACAAAATAGAAATGGCATATCAATGCACAATGAAAATCAACACTTTGCCCCTTTAGTTAGTTCTATTTCATAAGAACTCTTTTGGTATTAATAATAATTAAAAAACAAAAAAAAGGTCAAAGAGGCAATGGTGGGGGTGGGGAGCACATAATACTTCTCCCTGTTTAAAAATTCTGTACAGTAATTTCTAAAAATAAACTAAGGCAGCTTCATAAATTAGCTGGCTCAGTTTCCACTGCAGGGTTTACATAATCCTCTGAGAGTAATCAAAAGGTTCTTAAGATTTTAGTACAAAAATCATTCATGAGTTGGTTAAAAAGTTTCCATTTCCTTTTTGAAAAACCTGTTCTTATTAAAGACTAAAAAAACCAAAACAAAACATGGCATGTAAACACCATTCTTGCATAAAATCCTGCTCCAGAGAACCATGATTTGTACATTTAAAAAAAAAAAAAAAAATCCTCCCTCATTTACATTCACAACAAACTCCCATTAGGAATTCTGCCGTGTGGTGATGAACAGGAAGGCTGGGTGCATGTCCAGCTCGGTGTCTTCTGAACGCGCTTCCCTGGCCCTCTGCACATCCTCTCTGGGAGAGAACCGCCAGCGGCACAGTAATGGCACCAGGAGCCAGTGGTGCTGGGGCCTCTCGGTGTGAGCAAGCGAATGTCTGCGCACATCTCGGCTCCGAGAAGAAACCATCAGTGCATTCTCCACACCAGGCGGATGATGTAACGTAACAGTCGCAAGATAACCATTTGTGGGTGGTCTTCGGCTGCTTGGTAATTGTTAAAAAATACCTGAAACAACAAAAGCAAAGCTTTTTAGTTTCTTCCTCATTATTTTTGGGGGGATGGCCATATTTAAGTGAACCCATCCCCTCTTAATCGCTACGGAAGGCACCCCTTAAACAGCACTGTATCATCGAAGTACAATTCCTGAGATTGCTGAGGGGACTCATCTGCATTTCTCCTGCAAAGGGGAGATGTCACTACTTAAATGGCAGCCGCACCAAATGATTTTCTCCTTCTTAAAATAGAAAACTAAAGCAACCAAAAGAATGGTTAGGGAACTCAAAAAGAATCCCTGAATCTCCAAATCTCAGTACAGGTGCCAGAGAAAGGTCATCCTCAGTCACTGGAGCTGGTGTCCACGGAAGAGGCCAGGGTGGGGGCGGGGGACAGAAGAAGGAAAGAATGAACTTGGCGGATGTGAAGGAATAATCTTACTACCCAAGTTAATTGACATTCAAATACGTTTCATACTCCCCCAAGAGTGTGGTGGGGGAGAGGGAGACAGAGCAATTAAGCACAACAAAAAAGCCTCTTTGCCAGCGACCACTCTATGTTCAAAAGGAAATCACCAGATGAGGAAGACAGTCTCGTGTGTGGCTTAGTCATTTAAGGAAACCACCAGGGCAAGTTGGAAACGGGGCGGTGAAACAGGGTGTAGCTCATGGCACTGAGGCAGATGCCTTCTGTTGCCGTTTTTGGCTGCTCGGAATTCTGTCTTGAGCTTACCCACAGAATGGATTAGAACCTGGAAGACACGAGAACTCTGGAACCTTTAAATCATCTTGCTCTGTCTCCGCCTCCCCCACCACACACCAGGTGTGGGAGGGTGGGGGTCGACTCCACCTTGTGTCTGTGACCATGGGCATCCGCTGGGTCAGTGTTTGTCCAGCGAGCAATCAGAGGCACACCACTGCATCACTTTATTTAGCTTCTTAGGGCAGATTACCCCAAATCACTGGTTTTGCAAATAAATTACAGCTCCCAGAACGGTCGCCCTTCTTGCTCTGGAGGGGATGCTCCCAACGTACTGTCCATCGCAGGAACCGACTGTGAGTCAGGCTGAGACCATTGTCCCCTCTCAGACCCCAAACCTCCCCCCGAGACAGCAGCTGTGTGCAGAGCTCTCCCCTCCTTACTGCTGACACAAGCTCTCAAGGCTTGTCTGACAGAACAGAGCTGTGACAAGGCTAGGGCACTTCCCGCTTCCTTCCAGAACAAGACTGGAGGAAATCACTTTATATAAGCGACTCCTGAGGAGGCACGTGTAACCACAGGCTGCGATTTTTATCTGTTTTACACACAAGATTGTTTTGTTTTGATTTAACTTTCAAAATTACTTTGCTGCTTCTGTGTGAGAATAATTTAGGGGAAGGTAATTTTAGGGTAGAGCAGTATTAATAGGTTGAAAGAGGCTTATTCAAAATAAAACCATGACTTACTGAAATGAAGAAAGCATATGGTGTGATGGGCTAAGTAATCGATCCAAGGTGGGGAGTCTCCTGCCAGCCTGGTCACTGCTGTCCTTGGTGTGAATAGAGAATGGGGGCTGACACTGAATTTCATATGCCAGTACTGCAGTGTATGAGGAGCCCCTTCCACCCACCCTCTGAAGACAGCAGACGGACAACGGTGGCTGTGACCAAGGGTAGGAAGAAGTCTCCTTCCAAGGGATGTCTCTCCAAGCTCCTAGAGCTCTGCTTTCATCTCAGATGTAAAGAATACAGGAATACTCAAACACACTCTGGGGAGGGTGGGTGATGCAGGAAATTTTGGCAAAAGGAATGCCCAGTTGCTGACTAATGAGAAGATGCTACAGCACCTCAGTCTGCAAGGACGCCAGATGCCTGTCCTTTCAGACGGCGGGCATGACAACATGGCACATGCTTTTAAGCCAGCGAACAATTGCTCTTGGACAACATTCAATGGAGGAAGTCATGACCAGTGATTCAAAGAGCTGTGCCAGCCCAGAGAGCCCTTGACAGCTGGCACAGTGGCTGAAGCTGCTGCTGGCTCAGCACGCACAGCCCATACTGCAGAAAACAGCTGGAGGACGTGCAGCGCCTATTTCCAGCACATTCACTGTTCTCTAATACCTGCAGCCATAAAAATCAGTGTGGTCGTGGGAGCTCATGGTCTGGGCCTCATGACGCTAACATGGGGCAGGTGGCCCAAGGCTGCGGCTGGGTGAGGATGTGGAACCACGGCCCCAGGCTCAGCACCATGTAGCTCGCCTATAGCAGCAGCCAGCTCAAGGGCTCCACACACAGGAGATCTCCCTGCCATGTCTACACGAGGAACTGCTGCTACAATTTAGCTCTTAACTCAGGGCCTTTGGTTTGGGGTAGCTGAAGGGGTTAGGAGAGAGTTCAAAGCAAGCACACACCCAGTGGGTTCGGGAAATCGCAAGTCAGGCCTAAAAATGACAATCACAGTGTTGTGTGGGTGTATGTGTGTTGGGGGTGAGGGGAGCACTTGTTAAATGCAAATGTAACAGTAAGACTGACCAAGCACTGTCATTTGCTGTGCCAGTGGTCCCTGACATTTGATGTGGGCTAAGGAGGACAATAACAGCACACATAAGCAGCACCATTAGTAGCAATAATCCCCAAGCCTTCTTCAAGACCTGCTGCCTCTGTGGAGCTGGTCTTCCCGGCCAGCATTCAGGGAGTCTCTGTCTGCTCAGGTGGTTCTGAAACAGGCAGAAGGGGCACCTGTTGTGTATCAGAGGTTTATTTAAGTTCTGCCACCCCAAAACTGAACAATATAAGAAAAACAGACTGTCTTTCCTGATTAGAAGCATTTGAACCAAAGATTAAAATAAGTGCAATCAGGAAAGAAGCTTCACCCTCCCCACCGCCAAAACTTCTGGATGTTCTCCTTTGTTATGGCCAAATCGTGTCCCCCAAATTCATACGTTGCAGTCCTAACCCCCAGTACTTCAGAAAAGGACGGTATTTGGAAATGGGGTCTTTAACAAGGTGATTAAGTTAAAATGAGGTCACTGGGGTGGGCACTAATCCAAGGTGTCCTTACAGGAAGAGGAGATTAGGACACAGACATACACAGAGGGAAGAAAGACCATGTGAAGAGACACAGGGAGAAGGTGGCCACCTACAGGTCAACAAGTGAGGCCTTGGGAGAAACCAACCCTGCTGACACCTCACTTGCAGACTTCTGGCCTCCAGAAACTGGGAGATAATAAATTTCTGTTGTTTAAGCCACAATGTTTGTGGAACTTTATACCACTGCCCTAGCAAACAGGTACACCCCTTCGTTCATGCTACTATCATTCCTGGTCCTTTACCCTTTAAGTGAAAACAACACTTCTTAGGTCAGAGAATGTTTGTGGAACTTTATACCACTGCCCTAGCAAACAGGTACACCCCTTCGTCCATGCTACTATCATTCCTGGTCCTTTACCCTTTAAGTGAAAACAACACTTCTTAGGTCAGAGTTGACTAACTTCAGTTTAGTCTAAATCACAAAATATTTTAGAAAGATATAGGATGATGACTCGTTCAGGTGAAGATGATTTATTTTAAAAAGACAAACCTGTTACTAAGTATAAGCAGTTTAGTGACAGGTACTACACCTCTCTTCCTCACGTGCACATACACAAAAGCACAGGTGCCTGGAGAGCAGGGCCCCGTTCTGCGGAGCTACATGAGGGCTAAGTTACTTGGGGCAACTGACTTTTATGGCCATCCCACATGTCCACAGGATGACCCTTCAGTGCTCACAGCTTTGTCTCCTTCCTGTGCCCGTTCCTGATAGCCTACACCCCTCTCCAGGTGAGGGGCTCCTGCCTGTGTCACAGCAGGGCCTGACCTTGCAGCACAGGTCCACGTACCCACCAGGTCTGATGGGTGAGGCCTGTGTCACTAGCACAAGATAGTAAACAAGATAATACAGCAAGGACAATTCAGAGGTGAATAAAGTGAGAGATAAACAAAGCAAGAGAAGTGCTTGCCAGGCAGGCAGGTGGGTAGCCGGGCAGGAAGGCATGGGGGCTCATTTTTCCAATGAGTCTGGAAGGAAGAAGAGAGCTACCTGGAGAAACGACAGGAGAAAGGGTCTTAGTTCCAGGGAGAGAAACGAGCTGAGCAACGGCAGGAAAGTGCATTTGAGCAGGGAAGACAGCTCAGAACAAGTAATACTTTAAATGGTGCATAAGTATTTGATTTCTCATAATAAACCAGAATGAGAAACTATGCCAAGTTACAGGGCTGTTCCCCATAGGCTAGTCCCCTCAAAGTGGAACAATGCTGGATTCAGAGTTTCCAAGTTTCCCTGATATAGACCTAGGCTGTCTTCTCTAAGAGATGAAAAATGCTCTCTGAGACACTGTCAAGAGCGTCCCAGCAAACAATTCCTATACAATTCCTTGTACGCCTACATGATGCCCAGGGAGAGACTATGCCAAGGGAACGCCCAAAGCACAGCAAGTCCATGCCGACTTTCCAGTGGCTAGGAGCGGCCAGCACAGCGTGGGACACAGCACAGGATAGGAGCATGGACACCCCAACTGAACCACTGCCACCCTGAGATACAACAGGCAGGGCTGGGGCTTGGTCTGGAGGATGACTGGACATAGCCACAGGCCACCACTACAGCTGTAGCACCAGGACCACCTGCAATTTACACGTGGGACAACCAATCAAGTATCAGGGAATACAATTACATTTTAATGCCAAAATAATCACAGCAAAACAATGCTCTCTTGCTCTGTCCAGGGAAACAGGTCTTTGGGAAACGAAAGAGGCCTTGATGCCAGGTTGCCCCAGGGACCTGGTCAGGGTGACCATCAGACACCTGCAGAATCAGCTTCAGCACCTGCAGAGATGAACTGGCTTCTGAAAAGCTGCCCAAGGTATACCAGGCCTTCAGACTCTGTGTGCCCAAGTTAGGGACAGGAGAATCACCCACTGCCACCACTAGATGAAACAACTCAGCACATACTTTTCAGTTTTCATAACAACCCTGTGAGACACTGTAGCTTCCCCCAT